GCTGACGCGCTACCTCCTGCAGTACGTGCACCTGCAGTAGTGGAACGCACTGCTGAGCATGTCTACCCGGGGCATCCACACGGAGTTTGCAATAGCGACAGCTATCTCCTTTGTGAAAGAAGACCTTGAACTGAGCAAGTCTTGGTTGGAGAGTTTTCTCAAGCTTGGCCATCACTTCAGGATGCTGCTTGTTTAAGTGCTGTTTGGCACCTTTCTGACCAACAAGGACCTGACCGCAGAGTGCACAGTGCTCCATCAGGTAATCGTGGAACACCGGGTTTCGAGCTGCTCCTTCCGGATTTTCCTGGGCATCAGACTGTAGACTGGCTGTGAGTGAGATCCGGTTCTGGGCTTCTAAAGGGAGCTCTTCCTGTTGTCGAAGCAAGAGCTCTACCCTAGGACATGTAGAAGCTTCTACGTGTTTGCGCAGAGAGAACACTGTTCGGAATGTTGCTCTACAGGCGATGCAGGTTGCTGACCCTGGCATTGAGTGCAAAATGGGATCAAATCTGGGTCCTTTCAGGCTTTGCTGCGAATCTGGGTGGGCCTTCTTCAGGTGGCGACGGAGTGCCCCGGTACCGGAGAGACACGCTCCACACTCGCCGCAGGTCAGGATCTTATCCGCTACTGAGTGAGAGGAAAAGTCAATGGCAAGGCCTTCCAGAGCCTGGCTGATGGCCTCAGCGCGCAGCTTGTAGTGTGGTAGAAGCTGAGGATCTGAGTGTTGCTGTCTCTTAATGAACTGTGTAAGCCTCTTTTGCAGCTGCTCCTTCACGTGAGGGATCCGTATTCTCCGGAGTAACTCCTGGTTGGATTCCTTCGTTTCCTGGGAGTAACTCCGCAGGACAAACCTAAGTTGGTACATCATGTGTGAGTGGAGCTTCTGCAATCCCTGCTGTGTCAGACCTACCACGTGAAGGGCATACAGAGCAGAGGCCCACGCAGTTATTGTCCAAATTGACAGACGACGTCTGTCTGATAGGACTCGATGGTTCCTAACTGCATGGGCGACCTCTGACATTGCTAGCTTACTAGATGACAGCCGATGTTTAAGGGTCTTCATTTCATAGTCATGATAAGAAAGAATGACCCCCAGGTATGGGACCTGGTACCGCAGCGATATCAACCTGCCCGAAGGGAGTTCGACAAACTTCTCTCCATCTACCTGGCGAAATAGCTTTTTCCTAATTGTCGAGGCTGAACCGCCTTGTAGCTGCAGCAGTATTGCTGACTTGGACGGATTGACCTTGAACCCAAGTTCAACCAATTGATCCAGAAGAAGGTCGCAGTATCCTAGTGCTGTAATGAGGCCAGACTCAGACTCGAAGTGCGACTGAATCAAGCTGTCATCCGCGTACATGGTGAGTAGTTTAACTAGTTCGGGGGGGCTGATTTTTCCAGAGAGCTTCCTAAAGAGAAGCCCGGATGCAAAGGCGAATAGGGAAGGTGCAAGCTTGCATCCCTGCTTGATTCCCCTGCGTGTGGCTATCTCAAAGCTCTGATCGCTGGCTGTCATCTTGTACAAGGCTTTGATGTGGAGATGGCCCACCACCTCTATAAGAAGAGGGTCTGCTTGTTCAGCTTCCAGGGCTTCTCGTAATCGTATCCTGTCCACAGTGTCAAAAGCTTTGCTCATGTCAACGCTCATCGTGAGACTGCCCCTGAGCTTAAGCCCCTGTTGTCCCTTACCAGCTGCTCTAGTTGTAAGGGCCTGCCTGAACCTGGCCTGGTCCACATGTGTGAGTGCCTTACAGATCGCCTCCTCTGTGCCCCTACCTGGTACGAAGCCAAACTGAGAGACTCCTTGCATTGCTTGATGGAGGGTGGACTTGAGTCTCTGCCTCACAAGTCCTGCCAGGACCTTGCCCTCAGGTGCTATCACCCCGATCGGACGGAGTGATGTGGGCTTATCCGGCTTCTTGGGGGGCTTTGGGAGCCAAGAGATCTGTGACGAGGTGACGCTGTCCGAAAGCCTTCCTGCAGTGACCTCCTTATTGAGAGTGTCCGAAATAAGCCGAATAGCATTGGGGCCTAGGGAGCGCCAAGCTACTATGGGAGGACTTTCTTTAGGAACTGCTTTGCCAAGCTTTATCGTGCCTAGCTGTTCTTGAACTTCTTGCTCGGTGATGTGCAGGCTGCCTTGTATCCCTGTGAGCGGGAAGTCGTCCCCTGCTCCAAACAGCTCAGTGGAGTATTCCTCTAATTGTCTACGTTCTTCCTTGGCTGTTAGGAAGCGACCCTCTGAGTCACGTAGCTGAACTCGTTCCTGAGGCCTCCCAGACCGGAAGCGTTTGATCACCTTGTAGAGGGAATGACTCCCATCTTGCTTGGATTTGAGCTCTGCCTGCTCGAGCTGTTCATCTATTTCCTGTCTCCGCCTTTCCTGCTTCTGACGCTTTGCTACCTTCGCCTGTGCACTTTGCTGAGACATTGACAGCCAACAGCGAAATACCATTCGGACCTGCAACTCCGGCAAGAACTCTGCTAAGACCTTGACTGACATTGGGAGTGAGCGTAACACTGTGCGCTCTGCCCAAATGCTGAGATCTGTTCTTTGCGCTGCTCCCTTTCTCTTGGGAAAGTGAGTTATGAGGGCTGAGTTCATTGCTTGATGGAGACTCTGCCAGGTTTGGGGATGATCCTGAAGGAGGGAGTCTACCTCCCTGGCAAATGCCTGTATTTGCGGGGAACGATGTCTGTAGCAGTCCTCCATTACCTGCTGGTCATAGGGTTTTGAGGCTTGGGCGGAGTATCTCCTGCTGTGCCTCAGTTTACCGAGAAGGGGGAAATGCCTACTGCCATCCCTCCAGGATGCCACTGGAAAGGACCTTAGTGGCCGGCAAAACCTGGCAGGGCCTTGGGACTGTGCAATCCTGACAAACGAGAAGTCAATCTGTGAGACTGAGTTGCCTTGTTCGTGGGTAGCTGGTCTATGCACTCCCCAAGTGTTGGTGGCGACTAGCTGGTGTTCCGACAGTAATGTCTGGAGATCCTTAGATCCGCGATGCCCTAGTCTGCAGGCCTGGATCGTGCATGGCCCCACGTGTTTGTTGTCGGTCTTGAGCGAGGAGTTAAAATCTCCTAGCACAAGGAGAGTGTTGCGATTGGGAACAGCTCGGATGGACTTACTTAGGGCATGAAGGGTCTGCTTCCGTGTGTCCTTATTCTGAGCAACAGTCTCCTTAGAGCGCCAAACGTATTGGTAGCAGCTGAAGACAGCCAGTGAGATGCCGTTGCTCGGCACCCGGACCTGGAGAACTCTTCCTGGAACAACCTCGTTGTAGCGAAGATCCTGTGACTTGCACAGCGTGGAGTGCACCATTATAAGAACCCCGGCTCCCTTCTCCCCTGTGGAACCAGAACTGATCACGTGCCAACCTGACTTGCTGAATTGCCATGAGCCCCTCCAGTGTGTTTCCTGAATTGCTACCAGCTTCACTTCCTGAAATGCTGCACTTTGCAGTACGGAGAGTAACTCTTCCCAAACTGCTGTTGTGAGAGATCCTGCGTTCCAGGATAAATAGCTGATATTCTTATCTTCCGTAAATTTTGAAGGCCGAGTCCTTCTGCCGGGATTGGTGGGCTTTACATGTGCCGGAGCAACTCCAAGCTCTGTTGACGACATCGTCCTTCCCTTGTAGACCGCACTACCTTCAAGCAGAGCTTTACGTGCTGCCCTTTGATAAGAGCGTTTACCCTTCCCTTTAGGAACGGGCTGATGCTTGGTCGAACCACTAGGCTGTTTCGCAGCACTCATGTTGAGTACGGCTCCTGTCGGCTTCGCAATACCGACAACCCTCACCTCTGGGAGATGTTAGAGAGCTGTAAATCTAATACTCCCTCCCGGACTTGGGACCGGGACTGCTCAGGCGCTGACAAATGCCATGGCAAGAAAGGAAAAAGGCAACTGTACTAGCCTGACCTTTCCTGAGCCGAGAGGCTTGCAACAACGCCAGCAGCAGTGACAACAACAAAACCAACCTTAACCCTAACATCAGCACTTAGCATTAACAGGAACACTATCATTTACATTAGCCCATTAGCTTGACCAGCATGTTAAACTTCAACAGACAGTGTCACGAATAGCAGCAGCAACAGCCACAGCAACAGCAGCAGCAGCAACAACAACAACAACGACATCGGCATCGACATCAACACCGACATCAACAACACGACCGCAACACAGCCACCACAGCAACGTCACCATACTTTTTTCCTGCACGGCCCCGTGCTGCTCTACCACCATCATCACTACCATCGCAGTCGTCAGTATCATCCCAATGTTCATTGCCATCCAGGCAATAAAACTGTCGCAGCCATAACCATTGCCACCACCATGGTCCGACTTGCATCGCCATCGAAACTGTCATTTTCATCAGATTAATCATCATCCTCAACAACAGCATTGGAATGGTCAGGAAGGTGCTCATCGTCATGGCTCTTGAAGTGGCAGGCGTCACTGTCATGAACGTAAGTAGCGTCACCATACTGATTATCAGCTTCATACGGTTGTAACCATCGCCGTGGCCAACACCGTCCTCGTCATCTTCATCCTCATCATCATCATCATCACCATCAATGTGTCATCAGCTCATCAGCATCATCATCATCCAACGTGTCATCAGCTCATCATCATCATTTTGTCACCAGCTCATCAGCATCATCATCATCATCAGCACCACCACCACCGCCACCACCACCACCACCACCACCACCACCACCACCACCACCACCACCACCACCACCACCACCACCACCACCACCACCACCACCACCACCACCACCACCACCACCACCACCACCACCACCGTCATCATGGTTATCATCATCAGCATGACCATCACCACCATGGTCATCATCATCAACATCATCACCATCACCATCATCTTCATCACCGTCATCTTGATCATCTACATCGTCACCAGAAAAAGCTTTTTAACCCCAGGCCATCGCTCTCCGAACATCTCAAAACGGCGGCCCAACTCACCGGTTCAGCTGAGGCGGCGTGGGCGAGTCGCCCCTGTCGCAGGCCGGGCCCGAATCTTCAAGCTGACTCCAACCAGACCCAAGCCCCCAAGCCACGACACTCTCAATAAAAGTCCGGCACCCGAAAAGGGTTAAGCCGCTAAGCCCAAAATCCCAACACCAACCCGGTGAAGACGATGCATGCTAGCAGCCAGAACAAGGTGGGTCTTGCAGCGCTAAGAATCGAAGTGTCGGAGGCCGAGAGGCAACTGCAACTTCAGCGGTCCGTCAGCGCGGTCAGATCTGCAGCACGTAAATTGGCAGTGGTCGGGGTTCGGGCTTTCGATAAGAGGTTACAGTAGGGTTCAATATACCGAACTCGGCAACTAGTACTAGTGCTCAACTGTAGAGTGCTCGTAGACAGTTGCAACATAAGCTGCCCGAGCTTGTTCTAACAGTCATTTTCGCCCTGATTCTATGCTGACGTTTGTTTGTGGCTGATGCTTTGAAGTGTAGGGACTTGGGGTTAAGATTTTATGATCGGCTTGTCTGTGACGGCAGTGATTGATTAGAGTTTCTTGGTTGGGTTGAGGAAGGGTCGCTCCAGTCTCCAGGCTCGAAAACACAGGTTTGCAACAACCCTATCCCCCCAAGCCCCAAGCCCGAAGTGCGTCGGCGGGCCCAACATTTGCCCATAAAGAGCATGTCGTCCACACAGACAGCAGTGCAGGGTAGCAAATGAGGGTGCAGTGAAGCTTTCTGTGTACACGGATTTACATGCAGCTTGCTCTTTGCGTGCTCCCATTGCATGCTCAGCATGACAAATTTGAGACCGAAAGCCTGACCCCAAACCCCGCAACCTTCACTGACCTCCCAACTCTGTTGTACCAAGTCGACTGAGGGGCTTGCGAGAAAGCAGCGGCCTGGCAAACTGCTTTCTCCTTGCTGGGAGAGGCCGGCGAAACTTTGGGAAAGCTGTCCTTTCTGAGTCCGACCCGCAGATAACTATAGTGCAATTAACCCGATCGCGATTATCTCATTTCCTATATCAGTAATAATCAGGTTAAGGCTTCAAGTGTAGTTTATAGGGTCTGGCATTTAGACTTGAGTGCTTAATGCAAATGAGGTGCAAAGAAACAGCGGTTTAGGGTATTCAGGTTCACGGAATTCTGGGCAAGGCTCTAGCCTTCTTGCGGCTTCGTGGTAAAGCTTTTAGGTATATCCTCAGAAGACATGACGTGAATTCCGTGTACGAAATGTTCTTCTTGCATTTAAATCGAGACTGTAGTGCAATGCTTGCTGAACTGTACCTGTAGGGTTACCAGGGTCTTTGACATTGTGAGGTTTCTGGCTTTAAACTGCAGGTTGGGGCCACAGCCCACTGCCAGGTTTTGGTTTGTGGGTTGAAGAGAAGCGAAACCACCCTTTTTTGCTTTCGTTCAGGCTTCTGACATGTCGGTGCAGTGCGATGAGCTTCGCGGCTGCTAATAGTCCAGGCGTTGGAGGGTTGACCGGAACTGGTACAGGCTTGAAGGCTCGAGGGCCTTTGTTCTACGGTGTAGACTTTGGGCATCTGGGAGTTACCTGGTTTGGGTACGAAGCAGCGTGTCCCAAGTCTATGTCAAAAAGGATCAATTTCGGGGGATTGTAGCGCCGGAGCATGCCAGTATGTGGGAGGCCCTCCGGGGTGTCCGCACTTGCTTGTGGGCCCGAAGTTGGTTGGGCGGTTTACGCGCCCGAGACAGAGCAAGGTTGCATCAAACAGACTAACAAGAACAAACTTCTGTGGGTAAATCCTGAAGGCTTGGACCTTTAATCGGACACTCGATCCCTTGGGCCCTTATCTCTGAGGACTGTGTTCTATTCCACTATTCTCGCATGCTCGAGGCTTTGTCTGCAGGGAAGGAGGTTGCATTCGGGTTTCCGGGTCCTGGTGGGAGTCTTGAGGCTTGCGCCGATTCAGGGCCTAGCCAGGGTTGTTAAGGAAGGCAAGGATCGGGTTGCCTGTTGCATGTGCTGGCTGTGTCGGTGGCAACTCACCGAATTCCAAGTCTGCCCAAGCAAATCAGAGAACGACATACTGAAGCCCCAACTGGACCTTAAACTGCAAACCTCGTACCCGACGGACGGAGTTCAGAGTGCCTGTCGTGTGCTTACTTGAGTCCTGAGGTGGTAGCTGAATGTCGGAATGAAGGGTCTGTTGTTGTGGGGTTGTGTCTCGCCATGAGGCGTCAGGCCCACATCCGGGAAGAGTCCTGAAAGGTTTAGGGCCTTGAACTCTCAACTCTACAGGTGATACTTTGCCGAGATCCAGCTTAGCACAACGTACTCAGATCCGAAATTCTCACTGATTCCTCTGTCATCTTCATGAATCAAAGGAAGGCGTCTGTTGGTGAAACTGCACGTATCTGTCTTCGTGATCTGACTCTTTAGCTCTAACTTGCCTGATGTGGGGACTTGGCTTGCGGAGGTTCTGACTCTAGATTGGTCTGTGGAGCTTCGTGTACGTCACTGGCATCCCATGCCACCCGCCAATTTCAAATGCTGAAATGAAGACACGCAGCGGCCCCAGGCCTAATTGAAGCCTACACCGAACACTCGAGCCTGATTCAGCTGAGGAGTGCGCGTGAATGGCAGAAATCCTTGGAGGCACGCAATTCATGCTCTTAAGGTTCACTGGGGATGTGCTTTAAGTTCAATTTTCCGGGCTCCTTTCGTTCAGAGAGTAGAGTGTAGCTATCATGAGATGAGGCAAAGCCACATGCTTGGGCTCGGTAATTATCGCGAAGCTACTCCCGCTCAGGGTGCGGATGCCCCGCACAGCATGTGGCAGGTCTGGAAGATGAAGATTCAGACTTTCCGGGCGGAGTTGTCTTCTTATTGTGTTGATTCCCTTTTGTGTTCAAGATATCTCCTTGAGCTTGCAAGGTCGTGCCGTGCGAAGTGAAGGAAAGTCATCCCGCGAACCTCGATGTAGTCCCTTCCTTCGCCATCAAACGCGAAAAATTCCCTGATTGTCTGACTGTGAGTGAGGCTGTTGGGAGTACAGTTTTGGTGCAGTCTGCATCCCCACGCTCGAATCCACCAAAAACAGAGCTCTGACCAGATCTGGCATGACATGTGCCACCGTGGGATCCGGCCAAGCTGCTCCAGCTCGACACTGGCCACGTTGTTGATGGACGGGTGGGCATAAGGTTTCTGAGGAGGGTCTGCTTCTCGTTCGTAGCATAAACGAAGAGTGGCGGTTTTCGCTATAGGTTTAGGGTTTCACGGTTTGATTTGATCGCTGCGGGACTAGCACCCCCAATCTGCTGGCAGCTCTTTGCAAAGACCATGCAGGTGAAATGAAACCTATTGAGCCTAGCGTCCAGGCAGTGTAGTGCAACCAGCTAGTTCGCGAGGGTTCTCGTTCGAGGCCTGCGCTTGTTTTCCCGTCGAATCTGTGGCCATGTCTTGTCTGTGGGAAGCCGTAACGGCCAGGAGATGGAGCAGAGATGCATGTGGCAGCAACAAGTGGAGCTGCTGCATCCCCTGGCCACGGCCTACGACACGAAGGGCGCAGGTAAGACTCGAATTGTAAAACCCGAGCTTAGGGTGTCATGACAGAACGACGACGGCAACGACTGCTTCCATTGCTGCTGCTGCGGCTGCTGCTACAGCGAGTAATTGATACCCTCGACCTAGTACCAACATCAGTGCTGGTATAATCAGGCTAGTAGTATCAGTATCGGTATTGGTATTGGTATCAGCAGTAGTAATAGTATATTCGTTCTTGCTAGTAGTCGTCGTCGTAGTAGTAGTAGTAGTAATAGTAGTAGCAGTAGCAGTAGCAGTAGCAGTAGCAGTAGCTGCAGCAGCAGCAGCAGGAGCAGGAGCAGGAGCAGGAGCAGGAGCAGGAGCAGGAGCAGGAGCAGGAGCAGGAGCAGGAGCAGGAGCAGGAGCAGCAGGAGCAGGAGCAGGAGCAGGAGCAGGAGCAGGAGCAGGAGCAGTAGCAGTAGCAGTAGCAGTAGCAGTAGTAGTAGTAGTAGTAGTAGTAGTAGTAGTAGTAGTAGTAGTAGTAGTAGTAGTAGTAGTAGTAGTAGTAGTCGTAGTAGTAGTAGAAGTAGAAGAAGTAGAAGAAGTAGTAGAAGTAGAAGAAGTAGTAGAAGTAGTAGCAGTAGTTGAAATAGTAGAAGTAGCAGAAGTAGTAGAAGTAGCAGAAGTAGTAGAATAAGTGGTAGTAGTAGTAGTAGCAGCAGCAGCAGCAGCAGTAGTAGTAGTAGTAGCAGTAGCAGTAGAAGTAGTAGTAGCAGCAGCAGTAGCAGCAGCAGGAGCAGCAGCAGCAGCAGCAGAATCCGTGCAGCAAATCAGCTGAATTAAGACGGGTTTACGTAAGTGTAATACGGCGTCCATCCATAAACACTTTCTTAACTTAGCAAAGCTCTCAGATGTCCTCTTGAATTTATCAGATTGGAACAGGCCGTGTCCTGGCCCAAAGCGCTGCAGCCCTGATGCCTGACCCCAGGCGTCGAGTCCCTTGTCTTTGCTTAGAGTCGGGCGTTGAGGGGGTTTGTGGTGGTTTGCTGCTTCTGGGGTTATTTGTCTATTCATTTGTCTACCCAGGTATAAAACTGTAGCACTGGGGTTCAAGGTCCGAGGTTGTCCTGTGAAGAGGTTTTTTTGTTTTTATTCGCGACGACTCCCACAGCCAGCCGGGTCAAGCAGTTCAGGGTTCCCCGTTCAGGGTTTTGGAATGTTGGGTGTGATGATGGCTTTTGGGCCAGGGTTTGGGCTCGAGACTTGCGGGCTTGGTGTTCCAAGGCGAAGTTGGGGTCTTGCCGAAGTTTTGGCTGACTCGAAAGCTTCTGACCTTCAGCTTCTAGGCGTGAGACAAACTGAGCGCATCGGGTTTGTGGTGTGGGGTTTCTTTGCGCTGTCGTTCCCCTTTTTTACTTGGATCTATGCATGTGGGTTGCCTTGGAGTCCTGGACCTGCCAGCCCAGCTTCGAAACCGACATCTTGCCTTCAAACCTTCCGCCCTATATAAGTCCAGTAACCTGAACCCGAGATACCAGAGCCGTGCGTGCAGGCTTCCGATTCCCGAAGCCTCAATCCATCACGAAAGCTGTCAACTTTGACTCTCGACCCTTGCGGGCCACTTCCCAAAGCCATGATCGTAAAACCTGCACCTTGAAGCCTGAATCTTCGAAGTCCAGAATCTAAGCCAAAGGTTGCCACAATGGCGCCACTTTCAGAGCACCTGGTGCAATTTGTGCTGCGGGCAGTGAAAAAGAGCCTATGCAGGGGCCGGGAAGGTTCAAGGTTTTCATGGCTTTCGCTCGGGGTTCACGAGTTAGCCGGCATGCTTCTGATTCTTCTCTGTGTTGCGACTGGGTTGGAACCCAGGCCTCTTGGCATTTAGGGCTTCAGGGTTTAGGGTTTATGGATCAGATGTTCTGCGGCATGTTTTGAAAGTCTCCTTACTTTGGAGAACCGACGCTATACTGCCACGATGTCACAGATATTGGGATGCGATAGGCCAAACCCAGCAATACACCCGCTTCGAACGACCCGAGACTTTACACTGCCACAGCCTACTGGCGCGTTGCTGCCGGCAGGCTTGTCCCGGCCAACACTGTTATGGTGCAGTCTCTCCGTCTCTCGGGGTACTGCTGGCCTTTGCCTATAGAGTGCAAGGTGAGAAGGGAGGATGTGTGGACTGACTACAGGCCCCCGTGCTTACCTCCAGTTCGAGGGATCACTGCCGTTTTGCCTGTGCACTTCGGCATCTCTGTGGGCACTCCGGACCTCATGCAAACATGCATGGGGTGGCCACACTGACCTCGAACCTTTGCTGAGGTCTGCCGATGACGCTTGCGGAGGCTCTCTGAGATGTCGGCAGCACCCTGCCTGCCGTCCCATCCATCCAGCCATCCATCCGACCACCACGGTTATTGAGTGGCCGCCAGCCTCTATTTCGGTATTGATACCTGTCTGAATAGTAGCCTACGATGTACATGCTTGTTGCAGCTTGCTTTCCCTTCAGAACCCATAGCAAGCTCTCCACACGTGGCCCTGGTGGTCTCATGTTTCAGTGGTTTGAGCTTCAGACATGTTCAGGGCTTCAGACAATAGTAGCAAACATGATCAGCCGACGAAATTCCGCGCAAAGTTATGCTTCAACCCAAATCTTGCGGGATGGAGAGGAGCTCCAAACTGGCGACGTTGAAAGAGCGCGTGCGGTGTACGATGTCCAGATCTCAAGTATTGGGTTTGGAATTAAGGCCGCTTCGAGAGCCTGTATTTGTGTTGGGCTCTACATGTTTTGAGGTTGAGTTCAGGGGCTTCAGGCTGACCACACGTTGCTCACAGTGTTGTCGTGTTATGCTAGGCAGGCTTAGCGGCTCGTTGGCGCCGGGAGGAAGGAAAGCGTTCAATCAGTTAAGTGTCAAGAGCTGCTTCTCTGTCTTCATGTGTCTGCGGCAATAGATAGATGATGTATTGAGATTGCTCGCTTTGCGTCTCTTATAGCCTAGTAGGCCTGAATCCGCGACTGTCAGCCCTTGAGTGCCACCACCCGACGCCTCAGCCCCGAATCTAAGCCTGACTATCGAATCCCCGATCTCTAGACTCTGTTCCCAAGGAACCCCAGCCTGCAAGACTTGAATTCCCAGAACCAGAGTGAGGCCTTGTTGAAGATGGTCCCGCACAAGCAGTTCTCCTTTGCAAAGGCGTGTCAAAGGGTCGTTTCATGGGTTGAAGGGTCTAAGAGGTTTGGAGCTTATGATGTCGGGCTAATAGGGTATCAGAAGAAACACCCTCTCAGAGGGTTGATGGTCCTGAAGCCTCGACGCTGTGTCCGGAGTGGGTCCCATAGGTCATGGCGGATGACCGAAGATTTCCGGCCCAAAACTTGCATCCCAAATCCCATGCGCGGCTTCAGACTTTGGGTTACAGAGTTGGTTAAAGGGTGTTAAGACTTAAGAGACGCATTGGGAGCTGCTGCCAGACTTAAGCAGCAGCATCATGTTCCTGCATCATGCGCTGTCGCTACAAGGGTGAGGGAAACGTTGTGGCAACTCGACGTCCTTTCGCAACAAGTCTCAGAGCCTGAGCCTGTGCCACCCAATCTTCAAACTGTTTGAACGCAGAAGTTAGTGTGCAGCCAAACGTTGTGCCGTCGATGAGGTGTGGAAGCTCTATGCAGAGTTCGAGGCGCATCCGAAGTTCCTGTGTTTGGTCATCGAGCTTGGATGTCAAGCCTGCTAGATTTCGTATGTGGTGGGGGTTGGCGCGACTTGCTGTTTAAGAGAAGCAGGGCTGTCGGTTTGCCTCGATCCTCTGAAACAGATTTGTTTTGTAATTTGACTGCTCTAACGAGACCGTGCGACTCGTCGGATAACGGCGGTTGACTCGTTTGCAGATAGCCTGCTGAGAGTCTCCTGTATCTCAGATTTCTTCTACCTTAAGCCGGCTCCGTCCCACAAAGCTTCCAAGAAACAACCCGAGACGTAAAGCTCGGCTCAGCCTGCAATGCTCAGAGGCCCACAGATCCACGCATATATGTTCCAGCTCATAAAACTTGAGGAGGATCTTGCCGCTTAGACCTGACGACTGCTGGGGAGCATCACGGACTTACGATTAGGTCATGGAAGCCGAGGGATAGAGCACACATTCCCGTCGGTGCTCTCGGCCGGGGTGTGTCTGCTGCTTAAGTCCAGCAACTTGTCAGGGGTTCCGATGGGCATGACAAACAAAATCACAAAACCTGAGCACTGTTCCATACAATCTGCAGCTAAGCACTGTCTGCGCTGAGTCTACATCAGTTTTTCCGGAGTCGGCACAGGATTTGTTTAAACTTAAAGCCTGATTCTGCCCAATCATGATCCCGGATGCAGCACGGGCTGAAAAGTCGAAAGCAGGTTGCGGTTCGTGGAGGGGCCCCGACAAGACCGTCAGCCGCAACCATTAATCTCGCAAGCCTGCGCCCAATCCATGAACCGCGCAACCCAACGCCAGAAACTTCCAAGTCCAAAAAACCACAGGCGCTATTGCAAACGCAAATATGACGTCTCAACACGACTTGCCGCAACGACCCGACTCGTTTCTTGGTTCCACTGTTGTCGATACTCGCAGGTGCGACAGCTGGAGCTCGATCGCGCGCGACGGATTTACGGTCGTGCGATTGCCGAGTGTCAGAAGGCCGGATAAGTGGGGTCAGGCTTTTGGGCTCATTCTTGGTGTCGTTTCGGCTCTGTCCGGCTATGTTTGTGGTGCAGCGACAGATCTTCTGATCCCATTCCCTGATCATCCCTGGCTCAGAAGACCCGAACCTAAACTCCGATTCGGAGGTTCGGGTCCTTCCTCCTTCGGGTTTAGGGCCTCCAGGTGCGGGTTTGAGTTTGTGTGGCTTGAGGAGCCTTACCCATTAAGCTGGGGTGCCGGGGCGCCTTGTGCAGCTGTGCTTGTATAGGGATGGTAGGTGAGAGGATCCTACTGATTTGTTGAGACTGATGTATCAAGCTTTTCGATACTCCAACGCTGAAGCATCCCAGACTCCTGAATTTCATAGACTTCCACAGGACTAAACCCTCCAGATCCAAGGTCATCCGGGTTTGGATTGGTCTCGCTGCGAGAATCAGCAAAGCTAAGATTTCAAGGATAGCAAGAATAGCAATTCAGGTCGTAAGTGTGATGATGATCATGGTAATCATTCCCAGACGGTTGGGATGGAGGAAGGCTTTCGCGCTGACGTGGATGATGCTACGGTGAAGTTGCTACTGCTGAAAGAGTGTGGGCCATGGATGGAGAAAGGCCAGCCGACTAATAGTGACGGGCTTCCCTTCCTGCTGCTTTGATAGAAGCCCAAAGATGCTGATGATGCTGACCGATGTTTTTCGTTTTGGTTGGGTTGCGAAAGGATGCCTTGCTGATGCCAATGATGCTTGCTGGCGGTGTAGTGGTCGACCAGACTATGGCGATAGCCTTGCTGGTGCCAGCGGCAATTTTGCTTGGATCGAGGAGGGAGAGAGGTCAGTCGAGTGGTGGTCAAGATGGGCAGGCTTCCTTTCCGCTTGGCTTGTCTGGTGATCGGCAGATGAAGAATCTTGTCGGGCTGATGCTGATGGTGCTGAGCTGTGTTTCTGGTGTGGGTCGAGCGGAGAAAAGCCGCCTGGCTGATGCTGGTGATGCTCACTGTCGACCGGGTGGTTCTGATGAGCTGCACAAGTAGTCCTTCGATCGGGTGATCTTTGATGGCACTGGTAGTACCTTGCTTGAACTATGGATGGAGACAGGTCAGTCGACTTATGGCGACGATGATGGCAGCTTCGTTTCTTTCTTACCCGCAGATGATGAACCCTTGCCTGTTGCGGATCGAGTGGAGAAAGGCCACCAGGCTGATGCCAATGAAGCTCACTCGTGCCGTGGTGCAGAAAGGGTGTTCGACCTGGCCTTAGTGTCACCAGTGGTCCGTATTTTGATGGATGGAGAAAGGTCAGCCGACTTGTCGTGACGAAGAAGGCAGGCATCCTTTCTGTGCTGCCTTCCTGCTGGTTTGGTTTCGAAACTCAAAGATGCTGATGATGCTGACCCATGTTTTTCTATTTGGTTGGGTTGCGAAAGGATGCCCTGCTGATGCCAATGATGCTCGCTGGCGGTGTAGTGGTCGACCAGACCGTGGCGATGGAGAGAGGTCAGTCGAGTGGTGGTCAAGATGGGCAGGCTTCCTTTCCGTTTGGCTTGTCTGGTGATCGGCAGATGAAGAATCTTGTCGGGCTGATGCTGACGGTGCTGAGCTGTGTTTCTGGTGTGGGTCGGGCGGAGAAAAGCCGCCTGGCTGATGCTAGTGATGCTCACTGTCGACCGGGTGGTTCTGATGAGCTGCACAAGTAGTCCTTCGATCGGGTGATCTTTGATGGCACTGGTAGTACCTTGCTTGAACTATGGATGGAGACAGGTCAGTCGACTTATGGCGACGATGATGGCAGCTTCGTTTCTTTCTTACCCGCAGATGATGAACCCTTGCCTGTTGCGGATCGAGTGGAGAAAGGCCACCAGGCTGATGCCAATGATGCTCACTCGTGCCGTGGTGCAGAAAGGGTGCTCGACCTGGTGATGCTGATGACTCATGACCTTAGTGTCACCGGTGGTCCGTATTTTGCTGGATGGAGAAAGGTCAGCCGACTTGTAGTGACGAAGAAGGCAGGCATCCTTTCTGTGTTGCCTTCCTGCTGATTTGATAGAGAAGCTCAAAGATGCTGATGATGCTGACCCATGTTTTTCGTTCTGGTTGGGTTGCGAAAGGATGCCCTGCTGATGCCAATGATGCTCGCTGGCGGTGTAGTGGTCGACCAGACTATGGCGATGACCTTGCTGGTGCCAGCGGCAATTTTGCTTGGACCGAGGAGGGAGAGAGGTCAG